GTGGAGTTTTCCTGTGTGCTCTTTTCCTAGGCGAGTACCACGCAAAATATACTAAACCTTGACTTAGATAGCAGACACCTGACCTGTTGTATGTGTTGGCATGCAGCAAATAATATCATCACTAAATAAGAGCATACATTCTAACTTGGGGATTATTTTTTCAGTTTCCTAATCTTAATTTCCTAATTTGATTTATAGTTTTAGTTTTTCTCATCCTCAACAAAGTACACAATTAATAAAATGTTATCATTAGTAGACTCTTATCCTTAAAAGAAACAATATCAGCACTTGCATCTTTCTGATTCTCACATAAGGTCAGTACCAGCATTTACGTGGATCTCACCATCGATAAGGATCAGCACCACAATTAAGTGACTATTATCATCAAGATGAAAGTGGTAATCAAGTAATATTGATACTTCAAGTGATGGTCATTATCCACAGAAAAGGGCAGAGCCCTTGAGAGAGAGAGTCGCGTCAATCGAAGTTCAAAATGCTACATCGTCACGTGATTCATGTAGACTTCAGATAGTTCCAGGAAGTTCTTGGCGAAGTTTTAATGTTAGGTTTATTAAAAACAAGGAACAGCAAAAGACAAGCAAAACTTAGGGAGCTGAGACTCATGGTCAGAGTGCTGTCTCATTGCAGAGAGTCTTCAGTCCGTTGTGTCATGTTCTTAGTTGATTGCATTAAACCACTATATGATATGTACAGGATGTGGGTACACAAATTAGGAGCTGTGTGTTGGAAGTAAACTGAAGTCACTCTGCATAGACATTTTGAGGCAGACCAGTTTGTCAGGACTAAAAATTCCAAGACTAGACTGAGAACTGATGCTATTCCCACTATCTTTGTACATCGTCCTGTGTTCAAAAAGTAGAGGACCCCTGGATGCACCCCTGGACCTATACACAGAGCATGTTGCTGCTGATCACAGCTATAGTATTACAGGTGACACAGGTATAATATGCATGAACATAATGGGCAGCTACAGTGCCTTGCGAAAGTATTCGGCCCCCTTGAACTTTTCAACCTTTTGCCACATTTCAGGCTTCAAACATAAAGATATAAAATTTAATTTTTTTGTGAAGAATCACCAACAAGTGCGACACAATTGTGAAGTGGAATGAAATCTATTGGATATTTTAAACTTTTTTAACTAATAAAAAAATGAAAAGTGGGGCGTGCAAAATTATTCACCCCCCTTTACTTTCAGTGCAGCAAACTCACTCCAGAAGTTCAGCGAGGATCTCTGAATGATCCAATGTTGTCCTAAATGACTGATGGTGATAAATAGAATCCACCTGTGTGTAATCAAGTCTCTGTATAAATGCACCTGCTCTGTGATAGTCTCAGGGTTCTGTTGAAAGCGCAGAGAGCATCATGAAGACCAAGGAACACACCAGACAGGTCCGTAATACAGTTGTGGAGAAGTTTAAAGCCGAATTTGGATACAAAAAGATTTCCCAAGCTTTAAACATCCCAAGGAGCACTGTGCAAGCGATCATTTTGAAATGGAAGGAGTCAGACCACTGCAAATCTACCAAGACCTGGCCGTCCCTCTAAACTTTCAGCTCAGACAAGGAGAAGACTGATCAGAGATGCAGCCAAGAGGCCCATGATCACTCTGGATGAACTGCAGAGAACTACAGCTGAGGTGGGAGAGTCTGTCCATAGGACAACAATCAGTCGTACACTGCACAAATCTGGCCTTTATGGAAGAGTGGCAAGAAGAAAGCAATTTCTCAAAGATATCCATAAAAAGGCTCGTCTAAAGTTTGCCACAATCCACCTGGGAGACACACCAAACATGTGGAAGAAGGTGCGAACTTTTTGCAAAACGATGTTTGGTGTAAAAGCAACACAGCTCATCACCCTCAACACACCATCCCCACTGTCAAACATGGTGGTGGCAGCATCATGGTTTGGGCCTGCTTTTCTTCAGCAGGGACAGGGAAGATGGTTAAAATTGAGGGGAAGATGGATGCAGCCAAATACAGGACCATTCTGGATGAAAACCTGTTGGAGTCTGCAAAAGACCTGAAACTGGGACAGAGATTTATCTTCCAACAAGACAATGATCCCAAACATACAGCAAAATCTACAAAGGAATGGTTCACAAATAAACGTATCCAGGTGTTAGAATGGCCAAGTCAAAGTCCAGACCTGAATCCAATCGAGAATCTGTGGAAAGAGCTGAAAACTGCAGTTCACAAACGCTCTCCATCCAACCTCACTGAGCTCGAGCTGTTTTGCAAGGAAGAATGGGCAAGAATTTCAGTCTCTCGATGTGCAAAACTGATAGAGACATACCCCAAGCGACTTGCAGCTGTAATCGCAGCAAAAGGTGGCTCTACAAAGTATTAACTCAAGGGGGCCGAATAATTTTGCAAGCCCTCCCTTTTCAATTTTTTATTAGTTAAAAAAGTTTCAAAAATCCAATAGATTTCATTCCACTTCACAATTGTGTCCCACTTGTTGGTGATTCTTCACAAAAAATACAAATTTTATATCTTTATGTTTGAAGCCTGAAATGTGGCAAAAGGTTGAAAAGTTCAAGGGGGCCAAATACTTTCGCAAGGCACTGTATGGCCCAGGTGCTAGAGTGGGTTGAAGGGCTGGCGGTTCGATTCCTGGCCCACATGACTCCATATGCCAGGCAATAAGTCAGGCAAGACGCTTGCTCTCGATGGCAAGCTAGCACCTTGCATGGCAGCTCTGCTACTATTGGTGTGTGTGAATGGGTGAATGACAATCAAGGTAAAGTGTTTTGTAGAACCGTTAAGGTTAAAAAAAAAAAAAAAAAAAAGCGCTATATAAGTGCAGACCATTTATCATTTACTCTTTAACTTTTACTAATTGTAGTAATATTTCTTATTTTTAAGTGACATGATATTATTTTCAATATTTAAAAACGAGCAGTACCATGTCTTCTGCCTATATCAGTTAGAAAGATTGAGGAAGGGATGAGAACACAGAGATATATCAATAGAATGCACTGTAAAAATAGCTCTTTTCTAACAATAAAGAATTTTATTCTTTATTACACGTGTAATAAGGAATAAAATAAATATCCTCATTTTACCACTTCCACCCACCATAATCACACATTCATATTGAACTAATATTTAACCCTCCCCCACCCTGCAAAATCAAATCACGTTTAGAAGCTTTTTCCTCCAGTTTTCACAACCATGTATAAAACTGCATTAAGAGAACGAGTTTTACAATTTATTTAACAGGCTGTTCATGGTTCGTTATGTGGCTCACATCCAGCAGCCTATCTGTTATTTGATATCCTCTAAACCTACTAATTTAGTGAGGATTGATTCACTAGCATGCTTTAATGTACATGTTAATTTGATTCAGATGTAGTGACAATATGCAATCTTATTTTTTTAAACGTCTTACCTTGCAAATATTTGGTGCTAACTTCCAGGAACTATTGAGAGGCTCCATGATCCACCATTGCTGTAAAAAAAAAAAAAAAGAAAAAAAAAAAGGGGAGTCCATTGAGTGAATGGAGTTGACAACTCTTTCTTTCTTTCTTTCTTTCTTTCTTTCTTTCTTTCTTTCTCTCACTCTGGAAAAGGGTATCATGTAAAAAGTTAAAAGGTACCAATGTTGCATCTGATTTCTAGTTCTTGTCACAGCACAGCTTCACTTGAGTAGACAGTCAGGCAGATGGGCAATGTTGGTCCAGTAGTCCAGAAATTAAACAAATGATACATAAACTACATAAACATGTATAAACATACACAGTTTTTTTTTAGATGCAACTGTGGGTTTTTTTTTTTTTTATAAGCCTAAGATTAATGTCCCCTGGCATGTGCAACAACACTGTCACTCTGTAAAGACGTGCGTTATGGCAAGTGGTTTGGCCAGTCCCTTTTGAAAAGAAATCTCAAGAGAATTTAGGCGAAGCTGCATGCATGCGCCTGACTCATTTGCAGCCTTGGCAACTTGGAAGAAAGTCTGAAACACATTGTGATTGTTTTCCTGATCTACAGGAACTGAAATAAAAGAGGAATCAGAATGAAGAAAAAAATGAGTGACGAGAGGAAGGAGTTTTCCATTGACAGTGGTTTGACCCACACCTCTTCTACAGATGCACATTTAAAACACAGATGCATACCGCTTTCAGGCTCCCATTTTTGGTTAGCAGCCAGATCTCATGAAATGGAGGGTGTTATGCATTCCAGATGAGATTCTGACATTGCAGCCAGCTCTAAACACTCGGAAATTTGAATATCTTACTTCCTTAGCCTGTGTGAAAACTCTCCACAAACTATACAGCTTTTTTTCTTCCCTACTCTTCCTCTCCTGTATGATGGGGGATGGATCCTTAATTGAAACCAGAGGCTGTTTTGTTTGATTTTTTTTCTCCCCCCTATTATAAAGTTACCCTTTCACAACAATTATGTGAGCTCTCATTATAGTAAAGCCGACTGGTATAGTACTCTTTATTACAAGGCTGCTGAATGCAGAGCTCCTGCCTGCTGTCTTTACTGTACATCAATCTGTAGAGATTTATATCCACGCAAGCCACTATAATGCCAGCTATGGTCTCTGTGTCCACTTGGGGAAAAAAGGGAGCAGGGAAAACACTTAAGAGTGCAGTGATGCGAGTCCCCAGGACTGTCTTAAATGTCCTGCTTCTAACAGCTGTCTTCGATAAGGCTAGCAGCAAAGAGTGCAATAGTGGGGCGTAACTCTGTGCTCAGGGCCTCTTGTCTGTCCAAGAGGCAAGCTGTATTGTGTGTTCAACCACCACCCCCTCGTCTATACATATTATCTACACATGTATACATGTATTTGCGTGAGAGAGAGGTGTCAAATAAAACACGGTAATAAAACTATATTGCGTTGTTTCTTTAATATTAATTTGAGTTTGCACAGCCTTAGACACAATATATATGACAAATCAAAATGATGTCATTTCAATACTTTGGTTTTCCTCCATTTTGAATCTGATAAATATTGTTTAATAACTTGTAGGGGGCACGATGGTTTAGTGGTTAGTATGTTTGACTTGCACATTGAGTGTTGGGGGTTCGAATCCTGCTTCTGCCCTGTGTGCGTGGAGTTTGCTTACTCTCCCCTTGCTGAGGAGGTTTCCTCCCCAAGTCCAAAGACCTGTGTTGTAGGCTGTTTGGCATTTCCAAAATGTCCATAGTGTATGATTGTGCCCTGCGATTGACTGGCCCCCCCATCCAGGGTGTCACCCGCCTCATGCCCCAAATTACTTGGGATAGGCTCCTGGATCTCTCCCTGTGACACTGAGTAGGATAAGCGGTACATAAAATGGATGGATGGATAACTTGCCTGCAAGAGCTTACTCTTACTCTTAACTACCTCTAATCTTCTCAGTTGCAATATTCAGCCTCGTGTTTCCTTCTGAAACTGTAAGATTATTTAAACGGTCACCTATTGTTGCCCATTTTCCTGCCATTTCTATAACTGTGACATATAAAATGCTGGCTTCAAATCTGATCCAAAGACTGAAAAACTTGTTTCAAACCATTTTTTCCTTCTTACAAGACACACCCAAGCATTTCATTTTCCATTTAGTAATTCCTTTTATTTGCAGCTACATTGTAAAACAGAAGGACATTTTTTTGTTTTTTCATTCAAAAACCATGGGAGATGCTAACTTACACGCTCACTGTACATGCTGATTCCTTTAAATCATATTTGCATTACTCCAGGACTAAAACACAACTGCAGAAGAGGGGAATGGGGATTGAGCTCAAAACTGTGTCAAAAGTCTAATCCGACTAAACATCCTCCCTCTGTACAATTATTTGGAATCATGCATCACTTTTGATATTATGTTGAGTATACGCACAGTGTTCTCACGTCAACGCATGACTGTTCATCTGATGTCTGTAGAGGCTGTCCAGTTTTGAATCAAATAAGAGTTAATGAAAAGTCTAGAAATTACATTGTGTTCCTGTACTTTTAAACACACACAAGCATGCGCACATACACACACACACTTGACCTTGGCTTCCCCCCTCCCCCTATCCAGCTGAGTGCAGCTTGACAGCATGCATTGCTCTGTGATTTTAACAGGTCCCTTGACCCTGGAGCAAGCCTGAACTGGGTCGAGCACACACAGACCCGTGACAAGGCAGAGTCCGCTGTATTTTCCCCTCTCTCATCCAGCTCACTTATGAAAGTGTGTTAGCAAGAGGAGAAGCACAGAAAGTTGTTCACACAAACTGCATCCACACAGATGAGCCATAGCAGGCTCCAGCAATGCGGCTGCTTTCTGTACTGACACACCAATCATTTACTACACTTTTCCCATCCATCTTTTGTACCATTTATCTTACACAAGTTTGCAGGGAGCCTGGAGCATATCCAAGGGAACTCGGGCCACGAGGCAGGGGACACCCTGGACAGGGGGCCAGCCCATTTCAAGGCACAATTGCACACATTCACCACTGCAGACACAACTACTCATGTCTTTGGACTGGGGGAGGAAACCAGAGTACCAGGAGGAAACCCCTGAAACATGGGGAGAACATGCAACACTACTTGAATGTTGCTGTATCTTCTCAGGCAGGAACGACAGAGAAGGAAAACACAAAGCTGTTGTTTATAAAGGAACAGCCTTTTTTTTTATTTCTGCTGTATTATAAGCATGGGAGTATGTGCTGGCCACTATTTAACTGTTAAACCAGGAATGTGCACGCAGATCCTGCTTCACGCTCAGTGTACATCAGTAGGCGTTTCCCATATAAAAACAACTACTTCTGATTTACCATATGGGAGGGAGCTTTGGAAATGTGTAAATAGCTATGAAGCCTTCAGCTTTCTGCAACTTGGAGAGAGGGTGGAGGGGCCACATGTTCCTTTATCATCTCAGTTTAGAAACGGAGCAATTCTGCTGATCAGGGCAATGCATACAATAAAGCTCTATTTGAAAATGCAAGACAGTACAGGGAGAAACATCCATCCATCCATCCATCTTCAACCGCTTACTCCTTTTCAGGGTCAAGGGACAGGGAGAAACAGTTTTGGTCAATAATCTTTTTCCAGATTTTTGGATAAAAAGTTTCTATGTCTTCTCTTGTGTATGTGTAGTAATTCAAAATAACTACAACTAATAACTACATTTTTACAAATCTTGCAACCATGAAGGTTTAAGCTCCACCCACTTGGTGCAATCAGTTTGTGTCATATCTCCGAAAAACATGTTTCCTGATATACAGTATTAATGAGTCTTTATTGGTCACATATACATATGCACAGTGAAATTCTTTTCTTTGCATACCCCAGCATGTCAGGAAGCTGGGGTCAGAGCACAGGGTCAGCCATGATACAGCGCCCCTAGAGCAGAGAGGGTTAAGGGCCTTGCTTAAGGGCCCAACAGTGGCAGTTTGGCAGTGCTGGGACTTGAACCCCCGATCTTCTGATCATTAACCCAGAGCCTTAACTGCTAATCCACCCGGTTTATGTCATTATGATAATGTCAAATTACATTATAAACACTATACACCACACAAGAGTGGATACATATTAAATCACATTGTATTTTTAACGATTTTTTTCTGTATTCAGAACCAAAAATTTCAGTTCCTAGATGACCTGCATTAATTACATTTGACATGTTTATTCCTATCACTAATTAAAATTAGACAGAAATTTCCACAAAGGTTGATTATTGCTGGATTAACATTAGATTTTATACTAAAATGGCGTAAAATATTTACTCATAACTCATGTATAGTCTCTTTTGTTTATGAATTGCAAAGAATTTATATTTCTTATATGTATATTTAAAGAAATTATACTTCTGTAAATTGCATTCTTTTGAGAACATCTTAACAGGGAAATAAGCATTTAAATACCGACAACGTCAAAAGAATATTTGTATGATCAAGTAATCAAATTTATGCAGATTTAATCAGATTTATTTAACATAAATAAATATTTGAAAAGTTCTACCACAAAAAACTATTTTCACGGTCTTGACTTAATATACTGTAGCATATTGACGCTTCCAATACTTGCATAGATTCAGTGGCTGATATTCCTTTCAGCAGTCATATTTGATCTGCAAACACACCAGAATCAAGATACATGGCCCCAAACTATTTTTGTAATGTTACTGTAAGTTAAGCCATTTTTTTCCCCTGTACGCATACTGAAATCACGAGTCCTGCTCGTGCTTATACTACTAGCTGTGGATATTAGTTCAAGACAAATAAAGAATATCTCAGAGTGACTGATGGAAAGGACAGTTCTGGAAATAAGCGGACACAAAGTCGGCAGGGTTCCAGGGGTTAAAGTTTAATGCATGCCAAAAGCAAATGACCCCTAGTGATTCCCTACTTCCTGGCCAGATTTGACCCCATCACCCCACTGCATTGCACCGTATTTCAGATCATACCCAGCACACAGACACCGCATTATATGCTTCACAGATTGAGCATGGCCCCTTCTGTTGGATGTTGCACGTTTCCTTTCAGAGGAATCTGAAGGTTATGGAGGTTGAATAGATTTAAAAAACAAACAAACAAACCAACAAAAACATGCTAGGCCTTTTCCCAATATCAGATATTTTTTTAAATAAAATCTTGTACATAGAAGCGTGATTACGAATAGTAAATAGAGAGAAAAGTACTGTGTGGTCTGGCAGCAGCCCAGGTGAACTCGGTCAAGGGGATCCATTATGGAGACGAGTGGATGTGCTGGACTTACAGCTCAGTGCAACTCCGCTGTGTGGAAAAAGTATACAGAATAAAAAGACCGTAATGGGGATGAGGAGGATCAGACACGTTAAGAAATCCTGTCAGCAATATCCATGGGAAAGAATAACAGCATCTAAAATGCATCATGCGTAATATAGAAGTTTTTCAAATTACATTAAGATTGAGGAGTATTTGAAAGAGATGTTTATGAATTGCATTTTGGAGACTGACCTACAGTAAATAATATATTTCTGATGACTTTTATTCTTTAATACTTCCCATTTAATGTCCTGTGAGGAAATGCAGCTGACTTGAGTGGGGTAGGGAGATTTAAGGTGGTGCATCGGAGTCTTTTCCAGTAAACTGGGATTTACACAGCATATTGCAACACAAACTGGAGCAAGAATATCTGAAAGTCTGTGCAACATTTCAACAGGAAAGCCAGCCAAACATCTCTTCCTGGCTTTGTTCTGATGATTTCTTTTATTAGGACATATATTTGGCATATTAATGAGACATGAGCAGTGATTCATCTTTTTGCATACATTCATGAACAGAGTAAGACTGTCATTGGTATGCTCCAGCTGAAGTCCTTCTTTGCTTACCCCAGTCTCACCCGTGTGCATTCACAGTCCCATAGGCTCAAGAACAGGAGTTGGTGTTTACATTGATCAGTCTACTCACACAACTAGCTCGAGGGTTCATTCTACACTTCTATAACAAATAGTGCTCTTGCTGAAATGCTCTGTGGAAAATGCGGAATGGAAAAAGCAGTGCTACAGTGAGAAAAGGTTCCAGGCACAGTCAGAGCAGGAGTAATACATTTTTTTTCCATTTGGGTTTTATTGTCTTGCTTTTTTTCCCCCAAACTTTGAGGTTTTGAGTTTTGCAATGGAAGGAAATACAGGAAAACAACCGATGCTATGAAATGAGAATCTAAACAGCGTGTTCTTGTCAAAACTATTCAAACACCCAATTATAATCTTTTGTAGCATGGCCTATCTGCACATCCACTGAAATGGTAAGCAGATAAAGAACAGAATGAAGCTTTTTTTGCATTTCATTCCCTGAAATGTAATGCTGTTAAACCAAACATCTCAGACCTTCTCTGCTCAAGCTACAGTATCTCACAAAAGTGAGTACGTCCTTCACATTTTTGTAAATATTTGATTATACCTTTTTATGTGGAAGGAGTAAGTGGTAGAAGATGGATAGGTGGATGGAGCTTTTCATGTGACAACACTGAAGAAATGACACTTTGCTACAATGTAAAGTAGTGAGTGTACAGATTGTGTAACAGTGTACATTTGCTGTCCTCTCAAAATAACTCCACACACAGCCATTAATGTTTAAACCACTGGCAACAAAAGT